GAAACTGATGGTGTACAACAGTGTGCACATATCTAATCTTCAGTTAGCTATTAACATGGTTGTGATCATTAGAAAATATGGAGACTACTATCCTGTAGGAATTTTTTAAAATTCAAACAGTACTGGGATATGACAATTCACTTGGTTGTGGCCAGCACAGGAATTCAGGACGCGCTTTTCATGCTATTCGAGACTCGTCAGCTGATGTATGTGCACCGCAGTGAGTGATGTCTCTTCCACAGAGACTTGAACCTCGTACCCATTGATTCAAACGCCAAAGCATTAACCACTAGTGTATTGTCATATGTTTGCACGTATGACATTTGATGACTGACATATATGTCATATTATGTAAACTGTTTACGAAGATAACTGTAATAAAGAAGTTATCACACGCACACACAGACACATATCAAGAATTTTGAGGGAGTTGTGGAGATTTGGAATTATTTCAAGCTGTTATTCATCGTAGACTGACATCAGTTGGAGGAACAAAGGAAACCTGGGAGCACTGGACAGCTGTTTCGTCCTAGTATGGGACTCCTCAGCAGTGCGCACCCACAACCCCACCAGCAGGGATCGAACCCGCGACCTTCAGGTTCCGCGAGGGTTCGTGGGGTGGGGTCCTAGGTGCTCACTGCTGAGGAATCCCATACTAGGACGAAACAGCTGTCCAGTGCTTCCAGGTTTCCTTTGTTCCTCCAACTGATGTCAGTCTACGGTGAATAACAACATATCAAGAAGCCTACTAAGCGACACCGTGAGCTGCATTTTTTCTATTTGCGTGAATGTGTGTGTGTGTATAAGTAGGAATTCGAAAAATCTTTTCCAAGCAGTTGGATACGACAATATTGTTGTTCATTTACAACAAATTTACAGTTTTAGTTTTCAGTTGTAATTGTATCTTTTATAAAAAAGATTGATTATACACAACCAATGTTATACAAATCCTATGGTGATATATAATTCAATAGGGTAACCATCTGTGATGTAAATTTTAAGGCTGATGTATTGATAGGTATAAAGTGAAAAGTGTTATGATATGAAATACTTGAGGTAACTAAATGAACCAACTGATTTCCAGAAAGCTCATAAAATGATTTTGATAATTCAAGATGAAATACATTTTTCTATAAGATTTACTCACGTATATTGTTGTTGTTGAGAATGCTTGATCGTTTGCACACAGATAAATATGAGTCAAGTTCAATAAACCTAGGGTGGTAAATTCTTTGAATAAAAACAGACCTTAACCTTTTCTTTGGAATTTGTGTACAAACATTGTAATAATAAGGTGACGGTCAATCTCTTAATATTATGGATAATGTTTATTTACTAAATTATATTTATGCATATTTCTAGATTTTGCTTCACTAGCTATCTGTTTGCACACAGACATTTTTTAGAGTTCATCAGTTTTGCTGCCATCGTTTGTACAAAGTAGCAATGAGAGAAAGATACTTCGCTTACATCTCGTTATTATTATTTGTCCCTTGGGTTCCTAGTGGAACATTGGGCTTCAGTAGCACGTCTCCAATGCACCTCTTCTCTGAAATCTTTTCAACCTGACTCCACGACAGCCCACAACTCTCATTTCCTCCTCACACGATCTCCTCCATGTCACACTCACCTCGGACGCCCAACTCGTCGTTCCCCATCGGGTTCCACTCCACGACCTGGCCTGACGCGTGATTTCCCCAATCGACATTCTCAGTGTATGCCCAATTCATCTCCACTTCCTTCCAGTGCATACTTGTTCAGTGGTACCTTCTTGGTTGGTTCATTCCCAGGCCAGAGTTCCTTATTACTTATCCTTTCTGGCCATCTGATCTCATCTTCACTAACGAGCCAGCATAGGTGGCAGTTGTTGATGAATATCTGTTGTTTGTTATTAATCCCTTTCGTAACGCGCCAACTCTTTGAAACATACAGGAGCACTGACTTGACGTTAATGTTGAAAATCTGGATCTTGTTCACACACACTTTATGTTGAGTGCAGTGCAGAAGATCTCCACACTGGTTCCAGGTTAATGAACGCCTGTCTTGCTTGCTTTTCCGATCCTGGCTGGCTTTGACGTCCTCGTCTGTGACTGTGCCACCTGTAGTTGAAACGATGCTGTCTAGATAGGTGAAGGAGGCTACTTCTTTAAGTTTCTCCCGTTGATGGTGATTGAAGCTTGTTGTTGCTGTTGTTTTTGGTTGGGCATCTTCATCACCTCTGTCTTCTCTACCTTCACTTGAAGTCCCGTCTTCGCTGCCCTGCCTCATCTCTTCTGTAAACCTGTTGAATCTTGCCTGTAGATCTTCGAATGTGTGCGACATCAGACACAAGTCATCGTTGGCGAAATCCAAATCTTCTAGGACCTTTTCATCGGTTCAGGTAGCGTATGCCCATCTTCTCGCTCCTCACTGTTTGTTGCATGATCCAGTCCGGTCCAGTCCAGTCCAGTCGACCACAATCAGGAAGATGGTCGGTGATAGTAGACTGCAGTCTTGTTTCACTCCTGTCTTCACTTCACTTCAAATGCATCACTGAGCTACCCATTGTGAATTACTTGACATCTTCATGGCGTCTTCAAATAGTTGTTGAATGAGGTTGATAAAGGTTTGTGGTATTCCGTAGTGTTGTATCAGTTTCCAAATTACTTGTGAGTCGACGCTGTTGAAGGCCTTTTGAAAGTCGATAAGGTTGGGGTAGAGAGTTGACTGCATTATACCTTTTAGTGAGTGAAAATTATTATAATTCAATTTTTGTAGGTTTATAGGATTTGTGTGTGTCAATAGACTGTCATCAAGGAATGACATCAGCTAAAGAAGCACTTGACAACTATTTCGTCTTAGTGGGAGACACCGCAGCATTGTGTATCCAGGGCCTAGTGGTTTGGTGGTAACGTGCTTGGTGCGAGGTCACGGCTGAGGATTCCTATACAAGAACAAAATAGCTGTCTAGAGCTCTGGGTTTTCAGCAATTCTCCATTTGGTGTTACTCCATGATGAATACTTACTTGAGAAGTTATTATAATTGAACAATTAAAGATTAGGCTTAGCATTTTTGATTATAAAACCCAAGATTGAATCATATCATAACGTCGATAGTTCATTGTCTCAAAAGCAAGTATAGACTAAGTGTTAGGAGACGATCCAAGTGGAAATCAACATTTTAAGTCATCAGCCACTAAGTTTTTGTAGTTCAGTTTTTGTTTCTTGCCCCCATAAAATCAGGAATAAGCTTATTGGTTAATTTTATCCTACAAGTGACCAATCAGAATAAGTTATTTAACTTTCTTCCTAGAGGTTCAATATGGTCATGAAAACCGTCTATAAACGATGCATTTTTGTTGAATACAGCATCTCCCTTACAGTCACAGATCAGTCTTTGTATTCTGATTTTTATGGCTTAGTCAAGTATCAAGCCTGAGGGACAACAGTCGCTATTCTTATCGAATCTAAATGTCGCATCGTATTATCTTATTATTATTATTATTATTCGCTCGTCACTTCATTAAGAATGGTGAAGATAAGCTTCTTATTATTGTAATATCTGCTGAAATCATGGGCTACTAAAACATTTTTCTACTGAGGATATTTTATCAAATTCTTCCCTTTCAGAAATGTTTTCCAAATCTGTCATATACTTTAGCATTGCTTTGAAATGTTTTCAACCGCTTATTTCTCAAACTAAGAAGGAAACAAGGGAAAAACTTTACGTTTGATTGAAATATATTTTTTATGCTATCTAATTGAATTACCGCTAGCATGATTTTGTATCCACCCACAATTAGGCCTAGACACTAATGTAGTTATTTAAAGGAGGTGAAATCAGGTAGCGGCAGATAATTTCAAATGTTCTTTGTTGTAAGTTATATACAGAGAAATAGTTGTAGATCTTTATTTGACGCAGTTGTTGAACGACTGCTTTCTCTTAGATAAGTTTCTATGAATACAAAGATTGGTCTAAGTGTCTGAATAACAGAGGTATTCTAACAAAATATGATACCATTTGACTATCTGAGATAGCCGTTGTTTAACAGACTAGTATTTATACCGGGTGATGGTTGAAAGAGAAACGAAAGTTTGGACAGCGGCCGAATTCGAACCAGCGACCACAGAGTTACCGGCCCGGTGTTCTAGCAACTGAGCTAGGAAGTCCGACTGCTGACTGGATTTTTATTTCACTTCAATCATCAGTGGTTTTACCCGACTACAGTGTGAATTCATGATGTGTTACTACCACTTGATCGTATTCACCTTCAATCATCATCCAGGATAAATACTACTCTGCCAAACTCAGATAGTCAAATGATAATCAATATGATGCTTCCCCTCTCTGATTCAGTTACATTTGGAGGAAGGTGAGAAGTCCTGATTAGATAACCAGTGTGAATACGATTTAGCAGTAGTAATGCATCACGAATTCACATGGTAATCGGGCAAAACCCTTAGTGATTCAAGTGAAATCAAGATCTGGTCAGCAGTCAAACCTCGTAGCTCAGTTGGTAGAGCACCGGGCCGGTAACCCTGTGATCGCTGGTTTGAATCCGGTCATGATTCAAATTCTCATTTCACCTTCAGTCATTACCCAGTATACAATATAATGTATTTAATTCAATTTTAAGAAGGACAATTTGCGAGCTAAATATTTTAAGATTAAAGTTTTCGGCTGCAAAACTGGATGAGCATGGTTCACAATTTTGAGGTAGTGAAAGTCTTCACAAAGTTGTAGATAAGCTGTACAGTGGGATCAACTAGTAATTATCGAAGATTGATATTTCACTTAAACAATTGTGTGATTTAAACATTTTGAGTGATAAACCTGAGTAGTGCAGCAGGCATACTTAACTGAAAAAATTCATTGCAAATTATTGGATTAAGCATTTAAGATTTATAGGAATAATCTGTACCTAGTAACGACTCCAATCAGTCATTGTTATATGTGATAAAGCATCAATAAAAACTGTAAAAAGATTTTAAGGAAACTAGTTGACTGACAAATAACTTACCAGATTATCAGACAAGATGTTTGTATTATGATAACCTTCATAGCCATTACTATAAGTTTCTTTAATCGGTAGAGGGTTCGATTGATCATCATTGAAAACACTACTATTGCCTACACTATTGTTAGCAGTAGAATTATGTAGGACTTTTTCTTTAAATTTGGTTGACTTTTGGGTTAAATGTGAGAGACGTCGTTTATTCTTTAAGCCAAATGCACTTAATTGTGATAGAAAAGCAATTGATCTTATCCTGGAGCGTGAAACAATGTCTGATGAAGAAGCTGTAGCAAAAGAAGATGATGGTTGACAACCAACTGATTCAAGTGGATCAATATGAAATGCAGTAATATATGGTTCATTTATTGTAGACTTTCTTTGATGAAAATTATAGGCGAATCCATCATTATTAGATCCAGAATTGAAATGATGTGTATTATAGTAGTGGTGATCAGTCCAACCTATAAAATTATTTAGGAGAATAAGTGTTTTATTTAACAGTTAGTTCGTCAGAGCAAAAAATGATAATCATCAAGCATAAAAAGCTGAAAATTGTTTATAAACGACATCCTGATTATTGGTAAATGATGAGTAGTTTTGTGAATTTAAAAATGTATCTTTTATGGTCAGTTTCAGGTGTTATTTCACTGTATGGCGTATTGTATGCTTATTATTAGTTGAATACATCGCTTTCTTTAATACTATCCAACTTCAAAAAACAAAACAGTATTATTACTAGCAATACTGCTTCTATCTAAATTCAGCTATTATTTCTGATGTAATCCAGGACACAAGTTTCGTTCTGCTTGGTGCTCGTCGATTGGTTATACCTGAGCATCTCCGTGAGCGATGGCGTTCCTACTGACGCTCGAATCCATTACACATCACTTCATAAGCCACTTGACTGTTAAATTATGCAAGTCATTTCTTGTGTAACGGATATTAGTTGTTATTTATGAATACTTGTACATTCAGTGATTGTTGTTCAGTTTCGCATATCTCACATTTCAACTCATACAGAACGGGAGTGGAATGCATCCAGACGCTTTGTGCACGTCCTTGACCACATCTGTTGTCTGGGTGCTAGGGATACTACCTGGCTGACCAAACATCATTAAATAGGGTGTGGTTCGAACCTATGACTTGTTGATTGATAGTCACCTCTATTAAACTACTGAGTCACAGCCCTACTATGGATGGATATTTATGCTGACGTACTTACTTTCAGTATACAATTATTAGATATATTGCAAGCAAAGATGGAGAATACAGTTTTCGTCATTATCAACGAAAATACAAATTTATAAAGTTTGTGCATTGATTGAAAAACAACATATATATATATATATATATATATTCTAGAATGTATAAAGAATAATCTTCTTACTGCTGTGTTCTAAACAAATCGTAAATTAAACATAAGAAAAATAATGGTAAAAATGAATCGATCAACCTGAAATCAATAAAATCAATCCCAATAAACATTTAGATTGAATTATTCTCTAGTGTTTATCAGTGACTTGCTTCGAGATGAGATTTTGGAAGTTCTTATAAGAAGTAGTGATCGGGTGAGCGGGGGGGGACGCGTAACCAAGTGGGACATGAAGACAGTTACTCAAATATAGCACTATATGAAGGTTGCGCTATATTTGAACTGACAGAACTAGGAAACGTGGATCACTATATTTCAGCTCAGTGGCTTAGTGGTAATGTCCTGGCCACAGAACCTGAAGATCCCAGGCGGGGTCATGTGTAGGCACTACCGAAGTGTCCCATACTGGGAAGAATCAGCTGTCCAGTAATCCCACGATCACAACTTTTCTACAACAAATGTCAGCTCATAATAATTATCAAACTGAAGTCAATGAATAAATCTACATAAACCTCCAAATAGAAAGAAATAAAGCAAAATAAAGGAGCAATAGTAGACTAATAGACACTGAATAATAATAATAATAAAAATTGTGGAATAATAAGGAAAATGACAAAAAATTGAAGATAAAAATATGTTTATGTTGTTTAGGCGTTGTTCACTCAATATTAGAATGAGCACGGTCAAATTCTAAAAGTTTGTTAAGTAAATACAACAAGTAGGTTATGATAAGGCCTGTAGGAAAATAAGTACACGCAATATTCACGCACATAAAGAAATATATACACATATACACGCCAGTTCGCATATGAGATTAAGACGCTTAGAAGCATACATCATTGTCACTAAGATGCATTCAGTTGAAGGAGAGAAGTTAGTGAACAAGAAAGAACACAACAATCAAACTATGAATTAAGCAAAACTCATTATTCATTAATTCAACAACAAAAATACACACCTGAGATAAACACCAGATCAAGTAAATCAGTTGGAGAACCATTGAAAACCTGAGAGTACTGGACAAATGTTTCGATCTAGTATGGGACTCCTCAACAGTACGAACACATGACCCTTCACCCCTCCGAGGATCAAACTCTGGAGCTTCAAGTTTCATGATGAATGCGTTAAAATTTCAGCCACTAGGTCTGAAGTCAACAAATCGAAAGTTTCCTACTTCTGTCAGTTGGTTAGAAAGCGCAATATCCACCTAGGTCTTCATTTGGCATCCGCCTCAATTCTGAATTAGGCCGATTCCATAGATCACGGCTTCTTATTAGAACTTTGGGATATCCATCTCGAAACATGTCACTAATGAGCACTATGCAGTAATGTATTTCAAGATTGATGGGATTTTACATTTAAATCATAAAGGCGAACCGATATAAGAAAGAAGCTGTGGACCATTAAATTCCCACCAAGTGGTTGAATCGTTAGCGCATTTACCGCTCGTCCTGAAGGTCTTGAGTTCGATTCCGGAGGGGCTCGGTCACGAGAGCGTACTACTGGAGAGTCCCACTAATATAATCATTTGTCTCTTGCGTTCCCAGTGAACATACGGCTTCAATAGCATGTCTCCACTGCACTCTCTTCTCTGCAGTCTTTTGGACTCAGCACCACCGCTGACCACAACATTTCATTTCTTCCTCACACCATCTCCTCCATCTCACCCTCACCTCGGACGCACAACTCGTTCTTTCCCATTTACATTCCACTAGAGAGCCTGGCCTGGTGCGTGATGTGCCCAAACCCTCTTCTCACTGTATATCAAATCCATCTCCACTTCCTTCTAGTGCATATTTGTTGGGCGATAGGTACTTGGTTGGTTCGTTCCCAGGCCAGAGTTCCTTGTTGATTATTCTTTCTCACCTTCTCATCCGATCTTCAGTATGGAGTGAGAGTAGGCGGCAGATGTTGATGAATATCTGTAGTTTGTTGGAAATGCTTTTCGTAACATGCCAAGTTTCTGAGCCATACAGAAGTACTGACTTGAAATTCGGGTTTGAAAACCTGAATCTTGTTCTTACATGTATCATATTAACAATCAAAGTAATCATGCGTTAGTGTTATGTCTTCATTTGAGCAATCCCAGTTTCTTGCTTATGTAATTTGATTGAAATATTGTTGCTGAGTTATATCATGGCTCGTCTCTAAGACTTTACTATAGCATTATTGGAAGGAATTTTCTTAAGAATTTAGTTAGACTACTGAAACTGAAAACAATGACTATCATTAAAACGCATGTATATGTATGCTTGACTACGATTCACAACTCATATTTACCGATTAATGACTTTATCTACATGAACAAGTCATTACAGACACAGCAGATTTTGAAATCAGGACTAATTGGCTAAAGCTGCAACGGAACACGAAATCGTAGCCAGTCTAAAAGGAACAATTAAGCAATTAATGCAACTGAACACTTTCATGAATACATTTTCAACTGCGAGTACTTTTTAACATGGATTTAAACACTTCATACTCATGACCAAAGAGAGGGGTCGAACCCAGAACCAACAGGTTTTATCTCGAGTATATCACTCCTCATCTATAGGTTTTTGAAATCCATTGGTTCACTAATCCCTACTTCAGTGAATTCATAATTATAGCACGGTTATCACCTAGTTTCATTAATAAGTAAATATCCTCACTCTCGACTTGACTCACCTTAAAAATAAGGACACCACCTATGAAACTGATTGTAATCAGAAAAAAACCAAGTACACTAGAATATTCACAATCAATTTTAATAATAAATTGGTCATGGTTACATCTTATAGAAATTATTATAATGTTCCCTTCACACATTATTATACTGTTAGAATAACTACAAAATGTACTTTAATCAGAATAAAGTGCTTTTTCAAGTTCCGTTTTCATAAGCAACATTGAATAATTACATGATATACAAGTTTTCATAGTTGAACTTGTCCCGATCTATAGAAAATATCCTATTACTAATTACTATTATTATTGTCATTACTTGTTTCAATTCATGTTTATAAAGTTTATGAAACTGGTTAGGCATTTATATAAACTTTTTCCGAGAAATAAAGCTAACACAAAAAAACACTTGCAGATATTCATTCGTATTGAGTTAATGTCATTTACGGATAACACAACAGATAGCTCAAATTCATATTTCTATCGTTAGTTTTAACCATTAAACAACCTAGTAAACCTCAAAATACACATAATTCCATATTGAATAACAGCGAACTGTCGACTCTGGAAATCGAAATGCACTCAACCACCTTGTGGTCGTTTATTCAGTAAGCAATGAGCCACACCTAACTGTGTGAAGACTAGTGATATTACTTAGCGGTTGCCTAAACTTCGGTAGGTGGAGTGGCGTCCGAACCAATGAATGATGCCAGTGTGGATAGGTATATGATTCATAAACAACAGTTGGAAGTGAAAAGTGTATGCTTCACGTCTTTTGCATCCATACACGCTTATGAACTGTCGTGAAGTACAACTAAAACAACATTACTGATAGCAATCGGCAACAGTATTCAGAAAGGAAGAATACTATGCGTAATCATTGAGCAGGAAGATCGATGAATGGATGTAAGATCTCTTTTTCACGAAAAACGTTAGTAAAGTTGGCAACAAATTCGTATTTGATACGACTGTAGTAATTACAATAATGAAGTAAATCCCCTGAGATCAACTGTGTCACTGAGGTGAAACTTTATGATGATGATGATGATCCACTGTGAAGTTTAATACTTTGAGCATTGACCGTATTCTATGTGAACTAGACATTGACTTTATTGGAGTAAGATAATCCGTTTCTGTGAAATAACAGTTGATTCCGGTTGGTAAATTATTCTTATTATATTCATAACGCAACAGTAAAGAAGATTTCGTTCAACTGGTTTCACTTTCTAGCTTTTTCAAGGTATCACAGATCACTTTTATAGCTAAATTTTTGTTGGTAGCCTGACTTTAGTGTGAAGAGATAATGTAACTTGGAAGAAAACTGTGGGCATGGTATGATTCTAGCCAGTGCTTTTTACGCAACCAATCAAATGCTCCTCGAAATCAAATTATTCATAACTGAAGTACACTTCTGATCCAGTTATA